TTATAATTTATACTATCTATATATGCATACATATGTATGATATTTTTCTGAGACATTTAAGGCTAAATTACATTCATCATGATTCTTTACCCCTAAACACTTCGATGTGGTATTTCCAAAAAAGGGGATATTCTGTTATATAACCTTAGTAGAGTTATAAACTTTAGTAAATTTGGTTAAATACTTCTGTCTAATCTACCATTTATATCCTAATTTCATCAGTTGGCTCAAAGATACAATAGTGTGGTTTATAGCACTTTTCCCTCCAGCGCAGGATCCAGCCTAGGCTTAGGTATTGCCATTAGTTGTCATATTTAGTTGTCATGTCCCTTTAGTCTCCTTTAATCTGGAACATGTCTACAGCCTTTCTTTATCTTTTATGACATTGACATTTTTGAAGAATGTAAGCCCCCCCTTTGCTTTTTAAAAATTTGTCTGTTGTTTCTTAATGATTAGAATCAGGTTATGCCTTGTCATCCAGGGGATGTTTTGTGCTCAAGTTATCATATCTGCAGGCACATAGTGTCCCACTGGTGATGTAAATTTTGATCACCAGGTCAAGGCAGTATCTAATTTTTCCTTTGCATAGTTACTGTTTTTCCTTTGCAAGCACTGAGTAATCAGTGGGAAACAAATAGCTTGCTCTTAATCACTTCCCCTAGATTTATTATCTATTGATGATTCTTGTGCAGCCCAAACGTTATAAGATGACTGAAAAATCATGATTTTCCAACTCTGACATTCCTTCCACATTTGCCTATCAACAGTAGACATTTTCTAATAAGCATGAGCTTTTTCTTTTCTCCATCTATACATGTATCTCTTACCAGTTTGTACTGATGATGGAATCCACTGTTCTTTTCAGTGGTTGATACTGTACCAAATCATTTTGGTACTTGAACTGTCTTAGATTTAGCCAATATGATCTTGTGTCATATCTCCATCATCTTTGACCCACTTCCTTGATTTTTGGCATAAGTTATCCTAGGCATATCTTGTACGTATCCTGCCCAAGCTCTCAAATTACCCATTTTCCCAAGAAATCCCAGTTCTTTTTTAGTGGAAATAGTATTAAAGACCACGTTCTGGGCATAGGTGTGCTCATTACTATTGAGGTATCTTGGCTCTTGGCTCTTTCATTCAACTGAACTGGGAGAGAATACACACACACACACACACACACACACACACACATACACACACACACATACATATAGACATATACATATTTTAGAAATCATGAATGCATTCATCCAATTTTAATTCATTCCCACAGGTTTCTTACTTGCTCAATTCAGTTTTATATGGCTTCTGATTTTGAAACAATACGGCAAAATGGTAGAGATGTTCAGCATGCAGTGAGGGAAGATAGAAAACTGAAATTCACATGACAAGGTGAAGTGTAGTGATTAAGATTAGGAAGTCATCCACACAGAGTTAGGAGTAAATACATCTAGAGTTTGCCAAATCCAAAGGCAAGACTGTAAGAAAAAGACACAAAAAGAGAAAAGAGCAAATGATGGCTCTGCATTTTTTGATACATTAAAAAGTTATGGTAGGAGAAGAAGGTGATAAATTAAGAATAGCCTGGGGAAAGAGATGTAGAGAATGAAGTCAAAGAAGGAGGGGAGCCAAACTAGGTAGAGTCATGGTGGTCAGGATTAGAAAAAATTCCAGCAGTCCACTACTGCAGAGTGGTCAAGGAAGATTGAAGACTGAGACTGGGCCTTTGGATTTGATATTTGATATTTAAAGGTTTTTAAATCTGGATTTAAGAACTCATTTGGGTTTGTTGTTTTTGTTTTTTATTTATTTTAGAATATAACTTTAAAGTAACAGCTCACATTAATTAATGTTTAATGTTTTGGGACATTTACATTTAGCTTTTCTTAACCTTTTAAATGTGTCCACTAAATATTATTTTATTTCTAACCGCGTGCTAAGCAAGTTATACTATGTATATAAAGTGCCCAAGTCTAAGAGGAATGGTAGACAGGCTATTTTTAGGGGAACTTATATTTTTCTTTAAAAGTTCAGCTAGCATTTGGAATCAATATACAGCATAATATTGAAAAGAAAAACAACATATTTCCTCATCCCCCAAGAGGTTTCTTAAAATAGCATGTAATCTTACCTACAGTGGGAAAAGCCTCAAATTTTATAAGTTGGGTTGGATCTAATCCAGATTAAAGAACAACAAGGTGTGGTGAAGGTTATGGTAATGGTAATTAAGAAATTTGTGTTGTACCTGCTGGGCCTCACTAAAAGCAATGACCTAGCCTGCGGCTACTGGCATCACGACTGCTGAGACATGCTGTCTTTTGGAGAGAAGTCCAAACCAAATCTTTGCCCACTTTGAACGCCAAGATATTCTCATTCCTTTCAGCCACAGAACGGGCTGAGCTTTTCTAATAGGATCATGTCTGTGTGACGTTTTGATGTATCGACCTGTTTTCTATGCAATATATAAACAATAAAGGGTTGAATTTTAGTTGCCTTTCTTTACAAAGTCATGGAGTATTACAAATGTTAGAAGCTAGAGAGGATCTTTGAGATTATCTGCTTTAAGTTCCTTATTTTCTGCAGGAAAACAGCAAGGCTCAGAGAGAGAAAATAATGTGTCCATGGCCCCACAGCTGGAAAATGGTAGAGCCTGAACTCAGGTTAACTGATCCTCCACACAGGTCTGTAGCTGCACCATTCATTATGGCATTTCTGTTCAACAGTAAAACTCTTTGGGGTTATATATTATACCCTACTGGATGTCATGTCTGTGGGATGACGAGCTGCATTATAATATAGTTGCACTGTGCTCAGCAGCAGTTTAGTAGCCAGCACCCACAGGCAACCTGTATGGACAATCTGAAAGTAAAATCCTTACTGAACTGAATGGAATCTGTGGGGATCTTTGATAGGCTTCCCTTGAGGTGAAATCTTGTTTGGTTTAGTAGTTTAAGATGTAGCACTTTGCAGAAGTGCTTTCTTCTTTCATGATAGATGGCCCAATTTGGGGATCAGGAAGATTTTGTCATCGTTCACATTGCAAGCTTTAAAGACATGCAATTCAAAATGGTATCTGTATTTTTTCTTTTCTTCCAATAGAGAACAATTCTATTGTAGCACTCAAGTATCTAATACTTTGGGACGTGTCAAACCTGTTTCCATTTCATCTGATTTCATTCAGCAATTATTTAGAAAACTGTCTGTGAGGTAGGCACCGTGCTAGGTAGTATGAGGCTGACAAAGTTTCTAAGTTAAGGCAGTGACAGAGGGTACAGCAGCCATTGCTGATGGTCCCTGCTACAGCCTTGTTGGGTGACACCTCTGGCTTCCAGGGCCTCGTATTTTCACAGCTTCACTAATAACTCTGTAAGAGGAGTTGTTCCTCCCACTAAGATTCCCTTCTAGAAGATGAGTTCTTCCATGCTCGGCCTCACTAAAAGCATTTAAAAATTGTCTTTTGGCCGGGCGCGGTGGCTCAAGCCTGTAATCCCAGCACTTTGGGAGGCCGAGGCGGGTGGATCACAAGGTCAAGAGATCAAGACCATCCTGGTCAACATGGTGAAACCCCGTCTCTACTAAAACTACAAAAAATTAGCTGGGCATGGTGGCACGTGCCTGTAATCCCAGCTACTCAGGAGGCTGAGGCAGGAGAATTGCCTGAACCCAGGAGGCAGAGGTGGCGGTGAGCCGAGATCGCGCCATTGCACTCCAGCCTGGGTAACAAGAGCAACTCCCCTTCTCAAAAAAAAAAAAAAAAAAAAAAAATTGTCTTTGTTGCCTTGTTCACTTTATTATTTTTTTTTCTCCAACATTTGAAAGAGCTGAAGTGAGGGTGAGGAGAAAGGAGAATATTTAGATCTGAAAAATGCACTGGTCCACTTTAAGTCTACTTTTGGGAAGGTGATTTTAAGATACTCTGTACCCGCTTAGGGATCTCCTGCCCTTTGGATATACATGCCTTAAGTACCATCTTGCTGGAATAGAAGGTACTGTGTTTAGGCATCAAAGAAAGGAATTACACTGAGGAATTTTAGTAATAATTATTTTATTGTAACCTTGATTTTCTTCCTCCTGCTAATCTTTTTAAGTGGTATTAAAGGAAGCTTCTTGCCAGGCAGAAATATTCCTCCATGAGCACACAATCTTTTTCATTATTTGGCACTGGAATTTCATCAGACTGTATTAATCCAAGTGAAACCACTTTAGAAATACCTTTTTTTTTTTTTTTTTTTGAAATGGGTTCTCACTCTGTCGCCCAGGCTGGAGTGCAGTGGGGTGATCTTGGCTCACTGCAACCTCTGTCTCCCGGGTTCAAGTGATTCTCCTGCCTCAGCCTCCTGAGTAGCTGGGACCACAGGCATATGCTACCATGCCTGGCTAAATTTTGTATTTTTAGTAGAGATGGGGCTTCACCATGTTGGCCAGGCTGGTCTCAAACTCCTGAACTGAGGTGATCCACCTGCCTTGGCCTCCCAGAGTGCTGGGATTACAGGCGTGAGCCACAGCACCTAGCCAGGAATATCTTTAGAATAGTGCTATAGTCAGGAATGTTGAGACCAGGTAACAAGGGATTTATTCAATGGGACCGCAATTTTTATATACCATGCTTGAAGCAAAAAAGGTGATTAGTATTTATGTTGCAGTACTCAAATACTCTGGAGCCAAATAGATAGGACTACCTTAAACATGTTCTTGTACATGTGGATTTGATCTTAAAGATGTTAGGGAAGATAACATACCATTCTATGTATATACATGACAAAGGCCGGGCGGGCAGGCATGGTGGCTCACTCCTGTAATCCCAGCACTTTGGGAGGCCAAGGAGGGCAGATCACCTTAGGTCGGGAGTTTGAGACCAGCCTGACCAACATGGAGAAAGCCTGTCTCTACGAAAAATACAAAATTAGCCGGGTGTGTGCATGCCCGTAATTCCAGCTACATGGAAGGCTGAGGCAGGAGAATTGCTTGAACCCGAGAGGCAGAGCTTCCCATGAGCTGAGACCGTGTCATTGCACTCCAGCCTGGGCAACAAGAGCAAAATTCGGTCTTTAAATAAATAAATACATGAACAGGCCTTAGGCTACTTAAGGGTAATGGAATGACCATTGTGTGTGTCTTGGTGGCCTTCAGTGAAGTCTGGGTGAGCTATAGTAGTAACTGCGTCTGCTGTAGTATCATGAAAAAAACACTGAGCTTAAAACAGTTTCCTTATCCATAACAAAATGGACAACAATCTCGCAGAGTTTGTGTGAGAATTAAAGGAGAAAATACTTGGGAAAGTGCTTTGAAGTCTCCATAGCACTCTGTAAAAGCAAGGAAATGCACTTGTGATCAATATCATGATAGCATGGAGTGAGTTACTCCCTAGTCATTCATGATAAGGTTGCCCACAAAGAGCAAGTAGGTCACTTCACCAAACAGAATTCTGTACTGTATATATTACAGAAACTCCCAGGTTGAGTCATCAAGTAAAATGAAAAGCAGTGTGTTCAATTTAAAATGTTCATTTCATTTTCACATTCCATTCTTTACTAACAGAATGGTTTCACTTCATTTCCAGTCACTTTCATTTTCAAGTTCTCAAGCTTCACTTAGTGTCAGTTGTGTTCCCATACTTAAACATGTGCTTTGTCTTCCTTGATCCTCTCTCTGAGGATGTTTCTCTGACTGATGTGCTGTGGTCAGAACGAGAGCATTTCCACATGGTGCATTTCCTAGGTAGGCATGTCTAAAATCAGGAAGTGGCCTATCTCAGAACATTCCTTGTGACCCTTTATCCTCCCCACCCAATGCCTAGTGACTGATTTATTTGAGTAAGGCTACTTCCACTTTTAGTTCAAGGGCCTTGCTCCCTGTGTGTAAGAATCCCTCTAATGACATTGCTTTCCCTCCACCCACTTTCCCCATTGAAACCAATGTTTAGAAATGATAGAAGAATGAAAAGAACATCTCAGGTCCTGTTTTTGTACCACCTTTGCTATTGTAGTACCTCTTTTGTATTGCCAACTGAATTTGGTACACGTGACTTTAAGGGGGAAAAAATAAATAACATAAAGTAGGAGAGCTCCTAGCTGTCTTAAATGAATTAAAAGCCTTAGGCCAGAGTTAATTATATTGTAGATTGTAGACTAAATATGGGGAGGGGGGAGGTTACTCAACAACTGGGTTGGGAAATAAATTAATATATAAAACCATCAGAGAATATATCAGAGCAGAGTTGTGGAAAGTCACCTAAGGAAAGTCATTGTCTCTAGGCCAAAGACTGGCCTGGACATAAGTAATACACCAATGTGTCAGAAAGAGGGTTGGTCAACATCAGAAGCACTCAGAGATAAACACTGGTTGTGCCCTCTGCCCACAATAACTGTCCATAGAAATGCGAATGCTGGTAGTCTTCAAAGTTTCAGCGTCACTGGCAAAAATCCTTTGTTGGAAGTTCAATTTAACATTCAAGTTCTGTAGCAAATTCCTCCTATTCTGATGTCTTGTGTTTACAGTTTGCCTCTGTAAGTAGAACTCTCCAAAGGGAAAAATGCTCTGGTCAGACTGTTATGAGTATCTGGTTTGTGTGACAGATACATAACTTTTGTAAATCAACACATTGGCATTCTCGTTGGCTCCACCAATTTATTGTGAACTTTGTCTGGGGGGCATCATACCTAAGTCTGTTCAGCTCTGGGATACTGATAAGGTCAAGTTTCTGTGCCTACAAGGCTGGTTCTGGACCCAAGCTGTACAGTTCATATAGCCAAATAGTGCCATTTAGTAAAAAAGGGAGATAATATGGCATTTGGTTGGAAGTTTGGACTCTAGAAACTGATTGAACTAGACTTGAATACTAGATCAGCTACTTACATACTGTGTGACACCTAAGCCTACTTTCCTCTCTAAAAAGGATATTATCATAACACTGACCTCAAAGGGTTGTTTTGATAATTAAATTAAATAATCCATGTAAAATACTTGGCTCAGAGCCTTACATAGAGCTGTTAGCAGCAGCAGCAGCAGCAGCAGCACCAGTGGCAAGGTAAATACCACCCTGTGTGTCCTTTGGGTGGTCAGCAAATTTGGACTGGTTTAGAAGTCTGAACAGTCGCCGGGCGCGGTGGCTCAAGCCTGTAATCCCAGCACTTTGGGAGGCCGAGGCGGGTGGATCACGAGGTCAAGAGATCGAGACCATCCTGGTCAACATGGTGAAACCCCGTCTCTACTAAAAATACAAAAAATCAGCTGGGCATGGTGGCGTGTGCCTGTAATCCCAGCTACTCAGGAGGCTGAGGCAGGAGAATTGCCTGAACCCAGGAGGCGGAAGTTGCGGTGAGCCGAGATCGCGCCATTGCACTCCAGCCTGGAACACGAGCGAAACTCCGTCTCAAAAAAAAAAAAAAAAAGGAGTCTGAACAGTCTGACCAATTTGAACTGGTTTAGAACTCTCCTAACTCACTACTGGGCCCTTTCCATTGGACCCAGAGCATTGGGTAGTGACAGAATTTGCCAGTGTAGTCACATCATTTATGAGAAATGATAGCAATGGTTTGGTGCCATAGTAATGGAAAATGGCACTGGTCACTGTCCTAATTTTGAAAAAAATTGAGTGAAGAAGACATGTTCTAGAATGTGCACGATGTTGATCTTCAGCAGAATTTTAGAGTGGATTACTAAATGATTGCTTGTGAGAAAAACATGATTATCAGGAGGCAATATGAGCTCACTGAAAACAAAACTTTCCTATTTCTAGCATCCTTAAAGTCTTTCACATTTCATCTTATTGGTTATGGGAATGTCAAGGGGTAGATTTTTATTTCTGGGAGGAGTTTGGCTAAGATTTTTATGATACTCTTCTTGTCCTGTTGAAGCTGAGTAGATTCATAGCTGGTTGCACAAATGTCCACTGGCAGTTTTTAGCTGATGGATGTAGTCCTTCTGAAGAGGGATCCTCAGGGTAAGCCTCAGGAACCTGTCTACTGATGCTATTCTGTCCAAGTTTCTCATTAAAAATTTCTGACGAAAGCACAAATAATGTGCTTTTGCAGTAAGTGAGATAGGATTTTTTAAATATCTGTGTAGGTTGATGGGTGGATTTGCTAATAACAACCATATGTAGCATTTATTGAGTACTTACTGTGTGCTAGGCAAATTATCTCATTTAATCCTCACAATGACCCTTTGAGGTGTATGCTAATAATATTCCATTCTATAGGTAGAAGTAGAGGCACAGAAATGTTAAGTCATTTACTCGAGTCCCACAGCCAATAAGAGGCACAGATGGCACAGGAACCATTTGTCTATCACCAAAGCCCATACTCTTAACCACTGTATTATGCTACTAGAACCAGTGAGTCAGAATTTTACATGGATTAATGTAAAGTCCTAAGCTAAGGTTAGCAAAGTAGTATATTAAGTCTTGAAGGAGGGAGCTTGGGTTGATTGCAAGTAACAAGGAAAAGATTTAGGGATATTAGTTGATGGGAAACTCAGTGTGATTCAATACTAACATACCTACTTTTAAAAAAGAACAACTATATGAGGATGCATTATTAGAATATAGCATCATGGATCATGGGTGGCAATAGTTCTTCTCTAAGAGTCCATGTCCAGAGTACTAAGTCAGGTGAGTCATTAAGGAGGTCTTGACCATTATAATCAGGAGAATAAGAGATCTAGATTTACATCCTAAGAGGAAAAATGGTGAACTAATGTCAGCCTGGAAAAGAGAAAAACCAAAGAGGAATATGAAGACAACCTCGAAATATTAACAACCTAGTTATATGATGAGAGAGAGTAGATGCCATTGGTGTCTAAGAGAGACAAAAATCACTTCTCATTCCCTGTTGAGAAAGGGACTGTGGCATCAGATTGATGGAGAACAAAATGTCAGCTTTATTCCAGTAAAACCAGATTAGAAAACGTGGCCTGATCTGTAGTTACAATCAGTCTTTTTATACCCCTCCCCAGTTAAACACACTTTGAGTCAGGCAAAGCCCTGGGCAACTGTTCTTTGCAGAGGCAGGGCAGTTCTTGTGTGAAGGAGAAGGAGAAGGTGTGCATCCTGAAGACAGGGGTACACCTGACTTCTCAACTCTGAATAAGACAGGATGGAACCTAGCTCATATCTGCACAAAAATTCTTCTTGGAATCCTTGAAGAGGGCTGCAAAAAAAAAAAAGGTCAAAATGCTACTCTAGCAGGAAGCCACTCATGAAAACCTTAGGCAGGGGAATTGTGTTACCCCTGGTTCTTATCAACCTTAACTTTAGTGGGGCAACCAAGCCAATGGGGCACTCTTATTCCTGAAATGTTTGGCCTCTGTACAGAATGCTGTGAAAAAGAGTCTTCTAAAATTGGGAGGTTGGGGGAGGGATGTCTAGATTACTTCTTCGGCCCCCCCCACTCTCTAAGATTCTTTTGAAATCAGTTAAGACATGCATTAGAAAATAACGGAAACTCCAAGTAAAGCACGTCAGTAGTTTAAAGGCTTAATTTGTTGGAGCAGTGAGAGACTATCAGTGTTCTAAGTGCTATGGCTTATCATGTTCTAGAGGTGGCTTTGTTCCAACTGTTTGTTCACCAGTGTTTTGAGTTAAAGGGAATTACAACCTACAAATTTATGCACATGGCACTTCACAGAATAGAAGAGCCCAACTTCTGGCCTCTTATATCCACATGCAACAAATATGGCTGTGTCCTTCCCCCAGGACTCAATTTGTAAGCCTCTTTATTGCGTTGTGCTGTAGTAAAAAATTCCCAGTTTTGTGGGCAGTCTGTGAAACCAGCCTTCCTTTATTTCAACTTTTTGTTTTGCCTTTATACTGTGAATTAAATGAATCCTTGGGGGTTCGAATTATATTATGGAAAAAAGAACTTGATGTTCTGAGAAGCTGAAGAACAATTTGTTTTCCTCGGCTAGGTATTTAGGACTTAAAGGATTTCATTATCATTTTCAAAAAACTTGAAGAAGATTAATTATCCCCATTGTCTCAAATAGCAAAAATAGTCTATTCAATTCTCGCCTGAGTTATCATCACAATAACCCTATATTCTTAATATGGCCGTTTGTATTTTTTGAAGCTTCTCAATAGGGAATGAGAAGAAAGTAATTTTTGACCCTCTTAGACACCAGTGGTGTCTACTCTCTCTCATCATATAACTCTGTTAATATTTAAAGGTTGTCTTTATCTTCCTTATTGGTTTTTCCCTTTTGTTTTTTACACACCATAATCATCACAAATAATCCTGTTTGGGAGGCAAGACAAATATTATTGTACCCATTTCAGAAACAAGGAGAATAGAACTCAGAGTGATGGTGGGAACAATTAACAGATGTTCTCTGAGCACCAATCTGTTCCAACTACCTGCAATAGTACGTTTAATCCTTATAATAGTTCTAGGAGTTAGGTGCTATTATCCCCATTTTGAGATGGGGAAGCTGTGGCTCAAAGTGTTATTTGCCCAAGGTCACACAGTAATAACTAGAAGAACCGAAATTAGACCTGAGCTTTCTGTTTCTGAAATCCATGCTCTTAATCTCTAGGTTATTACCACTGGAGAGGTTATGAACCTGCCCAAAGCCACTGGCTGCCCAGGAGCTGAGGCGGGGCAAGAACCTATGTCTTCAGACTGCTTAAGCACATCTTCTAGATCCTGTAGCTGCTTCACTGGTTTGCATTAACTTTGGGGTTTTTCAATACAAAAAGAGGAAACAAATGAAAGCTAAGCCAAATTTTGCCTTTATAACATAGAGGAACTTACTCAGTACCAAGGATAATCTGAGCTCTTATGGGATTTTGTTAAGTGCCCAATGTTCTTTCATATTCTGTTTATTCTTTACCATCAGTAAATGCAGGTGGTTCTTGTCCGATAGTGATTCACATGTGGGCTTATGCCAGGTACACCTATTTTACTACTTTTGGCATTTATAAGGGCAATATGTTTCTCAACTAATTTGGAGAAAATAAGTTCTCCTATTAACTGTAGCAGAAAAACAAATGGGAAAGTCAGTGAGGTTCAATGGAAGGAGCTCAGACCAATCTTCGGCATCAGCCCAAGCAGAGTTAGAAACCCCAGCTCAGTCTCTTCCTAAAAAAGGGACTTTAAATAAGTTACTGAATCTCTCTAAAAACCTATTTCTGTATTTTAAACTAGAGATAACACTTGACTCATGGGTTTATTAGAGCGAACAAATGAAAAAGGTCGTTAAGTGTTTATTGGCAATGAACTGTATGGTAGATGCTGTGCTTGTGTTTGCTTCACTTAATCCTCATGACAGCCCTAGGAGATAGGTATTATTATCACCTCTTTACAGATAAGGAAATTGAATCTTAAGGACATGCGATAACTTTCCTAAAGTGAACTCTACCTTGATGTGTTGGAAAAGTTTAAGAGGATAACAAATCAAATATGTCATTTCAGTTTCTTCAAAGCCATGAAATATTCTTAAGTTTCCCCGAAAGAGTTCTCAAATAAGGCTGTCAAGGTCTTCTTAAAGAATCCCATTTAAGTTCTGTTATCCCAGTGGTTCCTTTATCTTTCTATTTCATGCTATAAAATTAAGTGTAGAATTACAAAGAAGTATTTCAAAGTGTATATAATATTCCTCTGTTTTGTGGATTTACATATCATCTCTTCCATCAGCAGAGATTAAGAGGGGTGTAAATACTTGGATAAGGCACCATATCCTTGGACTTCCTCACCTCCATCAACAGGGGTCAAGAGGAGCCTGGACAATAATCCCTCTCTGACCCATTTCTCAGCGTAATCACCACTATTTGCCTCAAACAATCTCATCTCATGAGGCCTTCGATCAGTGTTTAGATTAGCCACCCTAAGAAGCCTGACTTGTAGGAAAGCTTTTACCTCCCAAAGCCTAATTCTTCTATTCCGTTTCTCCCCAAGTCCTGTGTCCCCTGAGATTCAGAGTCTGCCATTGGCAAAACCTCCTATGTCTTAACCCCTTCTCAGAACAGTCCTTTCACCTTCCCACTCTAGACTAAACAGTGGCTGTCACCTAAGCATGCATCCTCCCCTGCTGACTTCCTAAGTGGTGGCAATGTTATCCTCCCCAGTCTCCTATGACAAGGCCTTGGAGGTGGGCTAAGCGTCCTCTTTGTTGTTCCCCACTGCCGCTTTCAGACCATTCTTCATCTCCCCGTCTCTAAATCCAACTGCACCCCCCCCCCATTTTAAATCTCATGTTATCAGTTATGTATAGACCTCTATGAGCTTCATCCCACACAGTGTAAAGGTATATCCTTCTGGCCAATCAATACGGAGTTTATGGTTCTTTTGTAAAGAAAGTGGATAATGGCCTCTTGATCAAGAACATAATTGCTGTTTTCATTAGTCAATACTATATGATGAGTGTGTGCAGTCCTTGGGAAGTGGGATCAGCCCCATCAGGCTGACTGAGAGTTGAGGTCTTCACCCACTCAGAGTCAAGAACTGTGGCATAGGGGGAAGCACTGTGTGAAGCATCCTACAGGGGTCTGTTCTGAACACTGAAAATGTACAGTCTCTGCCCTAAAGTGGCATTCTCAAGATTTTTTTCTTGATGGGACCTGTGTGGCTATGGGCCAAATTAAATTTAATATAACCCTGACTTTCATAGTCTTTGTAGAGGAATGAAACCAGAATAATTTGGAGCAGAGAATTGGGTACTCATGTAGAATATTTTCCTAAAACAGAGAAAGTCATGGAAGACTCAGGGTCTAGAGTATGAAGTCTTTGTTACTTAACTTTGAAAGGACAACTTTAGCAAAGGCTTCTTGTTTAAGATTAGTTTCTAATAAGTAAGAGGGCCTCGTTGGATTTCTTCATAATTCTCAGTAGTTACAGAGGTCAGAATTATTCCTTATCTTTAAGTAACAGGTCTTTAGATTATAGACCTAGTGGGGATATAACTTTAATGTTATACAGTTAAATCAACTTCACACTATTTACAAGACATGTCATACAACACTGAAAACAAGAAATTAGAGTATGTGGAAACTATGCTACTAAAATTAAGCAGCATAAGGAAAATTAATGTAAGCCTATAAGTCACAGCTTGACTTCTGTTTCAGCAGCTGACCCAGAGGCAATGAAGCCAAAAACAATTTTAAGACCTGTTATGTTCTGACTTGTAAAGATTATTTGATGTTAACCTCCTACTCCTATCCCCCTTCCAAGTGAGTACCAGGGGTTAGGAAAAAGAGGTAATATTTTGCCTGGCTCATTTCTGGTCTAACTTTAATTCTGGCTTCAGCAGTGTGAGATGCCTACTTTTTGTTAAGTATCATTGGCAGTTGGCACTACATTTCATTAACGGTTTATGTGGCTGTCAGTAACATTTTTGATACTCTGAGGATGGGCACTAGAGAAACATGTGCTTGTTGAAAAGCCTGCTAATGTCTATGTGATGACTTAATTTTGCTATTACCTGAATGTGAGTGCTATTGATGTGGCATTAACATTGATTTTATATTTATTTAATCAAAAGACAGAAACTTCAAATGCATAATTATGATAGCAATATCTGTGTCTTTCTTTAGAGATGAAAAACATCTAGTTAAAAACTGTGAAGAACTGCCCTGATTATATCAGAAAACTCACACATCTCTGTGGAAAAAATAGGCAATTAAGCTAATTTTACAACATAATTTAAAAGGCTGAATTTGTGAAATTTTCAGTATGAATAGAAGGTATGATGTGTTAGACAGTGGGAAGTGTATATCTGTATTATCAAGGCACAATATTGCAACCTGACACTATTAGATATAATAGATTATGCAGCCAAAAATGTTGTCATGGACAGTGATAGGGGAGCAGGAATGGTTTGGTAAAGTACCAAGTCTGGTGACAACAGGGCAATGGGAAAATTTCTTCAATCTGATGGACTGGGTAGATGGATACAAGTCTGACAGCAGAGATACATTCAGATTTAGGGAAAACCTGAAAAATACTGAAAAGATTAATAAAGAGAAAGGGAACTTCGAACTAACTAAAACTCCCAGCAGAGGAGTGTGGCTGACAGAGCGCCATGATCTTGTGTATCAAAGCTTCTCAATTCCTTTGGAGCAGGAAAATTTGTAATTTTTTTCTCCCATGAGGACCCTCTATGAAGGAAACCACTAGGAAACTGTAATTATTTTAAAGAGGTTTACTTTAACATTAATCTGATAGACTTCATCTATTCCATAGTATTTCTTTTCTTTTATCCCATTCAATTGCATCCTCTCTATAGGAGTAATGCACTCTTCAAAGTGCCACCTTCTGGCCAGTGGCCAACCAACACAAAACCAGTGCATTAAACAAAAGCATAACCAAGGATCCTGAGAGTCCATTTAGCTCCCCTGCTACCTCCACCAGACGAGGTACTGGTATCCTTGGCTGCAAGGTAGATAGAAGATAGATCACATCACAGGACCCTGCAGACACTCCCCAGTACCAGCTCAGAACCGGGGAGCTCCACTAGATGGCTAGGCCCAGAAGAGCCAAAACAATCACTAGAGTTCGGCTCTCAGGAAGCCCCATTCGTAGGGGAACACCACATCAAGGGAGCACTCTGTGTGACCAAAGAATCTGCACAGCAGCCCTTGAATCCCAGATCTTACCTCTGACACAGCCTACCCAAATGAGAAGGAATTAGAAAAACAATTCTGGTACACATGACAAATATGACAAAACAAGGTTCTTCAGCACCCCCAGGAGATCATACCAGCTCACCAGCAATTGATGCAAACCAAGATGAAATCTCTGAATTGCCATAATAATAATAATAATAATAATAATTCAAAAAGGGAATTACTAAGTTAATCAAGGAGGCACCAGAGAGAGGTAAAGTCCAACTTAAAGAAATCAAAAGCAGCCGAGTGCGGTGGCTCACGCCTGTAATCCCAACACTTTGGGAGGCCGAGATGGGTGGATCATAAGGCCAAGAGATTGAGCCCATCCTGGCCAACGTGGTGAAACCCCGTCTCTACTAAAAATATAAAAATTAGCCAGGCGTTTGGCACGCGCCTGTAGTTCCAGCAACTTGGGAGGCTGAGGCAGAAGAATCGCTTGAACCCGGGAGGTGGAGGTTGCAGTGAGCCAAGACTGCGCCACTGTGCTCCAGCCTGGCAACAGAGCAAGACCCTGTCTCCAAAAAAAAAAAAAAAAAGGAAGAAGAAATCAAAAGCATGATACAGGATTTGAAAGTAGAATTCTTCAGTGAATTAGATAGCATAAATTTTAAAAAACACAACATCTGGAAATCAAGGACACACTTAGAGAAATGCAAAATGCACTGGAAAGTCTCAGCAGTAGAATCAAAGAAGCAGAAAAAAGATTCTAGAAGATAACATCGGAAAAACCCTTCTAGATATTGACTTAGGCAAAGACTTCAAGACCGAGAACCCAAAAGGAAATACAACAAAAACAAAGATAAATAGATGGCTTCTGCACAGCAAAAGAAATAATCAGCAGAGTAACAACCCACAGAGTGGAAGAAAATCTTTTCTATCTGTACATCTGAACAGTGGAGTAATATCTGGAATCTAAAAGAACTCAAACAAATCATCAAGGAAAAACAAACAGTCCCATCAAAAAGTGGGCTAAGGTCATGAATAGACAATTCTGAAAGGAAGATCTACAAATGGCCAACAAGCATATGGGAAAATGCTCCACATCACTAATTATCAGGGAAACGCAAATCAAAACCACAATGCAATGCCACCTCACTTCTGCAAGAATGACCATCATCAAAGAATCAAAAAATAATACCTGTTGGCATGGATGTGGTGAAAAGGGAACACTTTTACACTGCTGGTGGGAATGTAAAATAGTACAACCACTATGGAAAACAACGTGGAGATTCCTTAAAGAGCTAAAAGTAGATCTACCATTTGATCCAGCAATCCCACTACTAGGTATCTAATATGTGGTATGTATGTAGATATACACCATGGAGTACTACTCAGCCATAAAAAGGAATGAAATAATGGTATTCACAGCAACCTTGATCAAATTGAAGATTATTATTTTAAGTGACAAACTTAGGAATGGAAAACCAAACAGTGAATGTTCTCACTCATATATGGGAGCTAAGATACGAGGACACAAAGCCATAAGAATGATACTTGGGACTTTGGGGACTCGTAGGAAAGGGCTGGGGGTGGCAAGGGGTAGAAGAGTTCACATTAGGCCGGGTGCAGTGGCTCACGCCTGTAATCCCAGCACTTTGGGAGGCTGAGGTGGGCCGATCATGAGGTCAAGAGATTGAGACCATCCTGGCCAACATGGTGAAAGCCTGTCTCTACTAAAAATACAAAAATTAGCTGGGTGTGGTGGTGCACGCCTGTAGTCCCAGCTACTCAGGAGGCTGAGCAGGAAAATCGCTTAAAAAACCAGGAGGTAGAGCTTGCAGTGAGCCAAGATTGCGCCATGGCACTCCAGCTTGGCAACAGAATGAGACTTTTTCTCAATAAAAAAATTCACATTAGGTACAGTGTACACTGCTTTGGTGATGGGCACACCAAAATTTCAGAAATCACCACAAAAGAACTTATTCATCTAACCAAATACCGCTGTTCCACAAAAACCTATTGAAATAAAAAATTTAAAAAATAAAAATAAATGCTTATTTTTTATTTATTATGAAATAAATAATAAATACCCATAGGAGAATTAATCTTCTTGAGATTGGAACTCCATTTTCTTCACCTCTCTATGCCTGGAAATACCTCACAAAATGACTTAACAGAGTGATTACCCAAGATGTATTTGTTGAATCGTTCTCTCACAGAATTTTAGATAGCATCTATACTTCTTTTCTTACTGTCCATTTTCCCTGGGTGAGCTCTTATTCCTTCCTGTGGAATGCACAATACCCTGACCAGTTGCGGATCTCGGCCTCCAAGCCCAGGCTCTTCTCCTGAGCTGCAGCCCCATGTGTCCCACTTGTCTGCTGGGAATCTCCTACTAGATGTTGTGTGCTAACTCCAACTCAGAATGCCCAAGTCTAAACTGTTAGTATTTCTTTCCAAAATGGACATCTCTTGCACTTCCCCTGCCTTGGCTAATAGGAAAATCATTATCTACACAGTTGCCTAAATGACAGTTTTGAGGCATAAAAACTTTCCCTCTTCCTTTCCTCCCATTTTTAATCAAACGTGCTTACATTCCTCTTTCTCCTTCTGGTTTCAAAACTCCTCCAAGACGGTTTCTGTCTCATTACTTATTAGCCTTGCCTCGGCCAAGGCTTGATTTAGGATATGTATGTTTTTAATAAATGTCTAATGAGTAGGAATTTTTGTAGCTTTAAATTTTCTGTTGAGAAACACACACATAGACATACTCACAAACACATGTGTTTGCCTGGAAGCACATATATATAGATTCGTCCAACTCGTCCAAGGTCACTGAGTCCTGTCCAGACCTTTCACTCTCTCAGTTTATTTGTGAGATTGTTGTATGGCACAAGCCTGCAGTCATATGTAATTGTTAAGGGGATGTGGATTGAGAATTCTGCCATGAAAACTCATTGCTCCTTCTGGCTAGTTAAACCACATATCCCATTCTGCCAAACCCTTCTCAGACATTTCTCAGCTATTTTCTTTCTCCTTTCTTAACAAATCTTTAAAAATATTTTTTAAAAGGAAGGAAAATAAAATCCTACCTTATGAAATTAGCTTGGCCTTGACGAGAATCTTGGCCTTGATGAGTTTAGATTCCCAGTTGACCATTTTCCATTCTGTCACTAAGATGTATTTGGAAAACAATAACAAATAACCCCTGAGACCTGCTATTGTTTCTTTATGGTTTATGTTTCATGCTCTACTGCTTAGCCAGCAGGGAGGGAGGCTTAACTGACAAACCCAATTTCTGTAGCTGTGCTGATATCACCCACAATTCAAAGCCACAGTGAAAAATTACAAATCCATCTCAGCCACATTTTTGTTGTTGTTCTTCTTCTTACTGAGAAACACACATGCACAAAGAAGTTCCACGTTTGCAGAGTGGGACTAAACAATCTTGGTGTAGAATGAAGAAAAAATGGTGAAACTGTGGAGAGTAAAATTATTTAAACTATAAAAAGTAAATGACGGCCAGACATAGTGGCTCACGCCTGTAATCCCTGCACTTTGGGAGGCTGAGGTGGGCTGATCACAAAGTCAGGAGGTTGAGACTAGCCTGTCCAATATGGTGGAACCCCATCTCTACTAAAAATACAAAAATTAGCCAGGTGTGGTGGCAGGCGTAATCCCAGCTAATCGGGAGGCTGAGGCAGGAGAATCGCCTGAACCTGGGAAGTGAAGGTTCCAGTGAGCCAAAATCATGCCATTGCACTCCAGCCTGGGCAACAGAGCAAGACTCCATCTGAAAAAACAGCAAATGACTTTGTTTCCTGAATCTTTATACCACCTCCTTTGATGCAGTCTCTGTCCTGCATGAAGCCTGTTTTGTTATTTGTTTTCTCATCCTGAGATTGTGCTGAAATTGCATTGGATTGCATTGAAATTCTTGAATTTTAAGAACCACTTTGGAAAAATTATCGTACAACAGTACCTCTCTGGAATCCACTTTTATTCTCTCCCAGTCACTTGCTTTACCAATGGTCCATTAGCTGTGTAAGTGATGTAGCTCTGCCTTCTTTTCACTCATGCATTACTTCTGGTTGGCATATCTTCTTTACCTTAAGCAGCAGTCAAAATTTTACTTAGTTTTCAATATTCACCTTAAACATTACCTTCTGTGAAAGGCCTTTCAGGTTCATATTATTAATAATCTATTCATATTTATTAAGTTTTCTAGTATGTATTGTATCCATAGTAGATGTCTGATAAATATTTATTAAATTGATATTAATATATGGCTTAAGAAATTACTAATTTTATAATACAATTTTTTTTTTTTTTTTTGAGACGGAGTTTCGCTCTTGTTACCCAGGCTGGAGTGCAATGGCGCGATCTCGGCTCACCGCAACCTCTGCCTCCTGGGTTCAGGCAATTCTCCTGCCTTAACCTCCCGAGTAGCTGGGATTACAGGCACGCGCCACCATGCCCAGCTAATTTTTTGTATTTTTAGTAGAGACGGGGTTTTACCTTGTTGACCAGGATGGTCTCAATCTCTTGACCTCGTGATCCACCCGCCTTGGCCTCCCACAGTGCTGGGATTACAGGCTTGAGCCACCGCGCCCGGCCATATACAATTATTTTTTAATGCAAACAACAAAAGACATCTTAAAAAGCTAGTTTCTTTTTATGCCTCGACAGCACATATTAGAAAATACAAGAGAAAAAATGTTTGTTAAGAAAAAATTTAGACATACCAGACATAAAAATTTAGACATAAAGTTCAATTTAGAGAACTTTTTCCCTAAAATATTGTAAATTTGGAACAATTTTGCAAAGAAACAGAAAACAATGTAGGGACAATATAGGATAAGTAAATTGTACTTCAGCAACTCATTGCTTCTTAGATACCATTGAATTATTTGCACTAATAGAGGAACACTGTTACACAAATCTATTTATATTTATATTTGATGCACATTTTAGGATTCCTGTTCAGTGTATTTACTTTCTTACTTATGTCTTATCTGGATTCTTATTAAAGTTACTTCTTTGCTATGCTTGGAGGGGAGGTCATTAGAAACATGCTGAGAACTGGGAGGTGTAGGCACTTCAAGTTTAAATTTGCTGTGAAGAAGCTACAAATAATCTACTTTCAGTCTAAATTAAGGTGGCCTATAGTTTTACAAACCAAAGCATGATCGTGGGATGCTAATTTAGGGAACTATTCTGCAGAAACCATGACACAATCAGCTTGCTAGTCAACATTTAGAACCATATTTGGAAATTGTGCTCAGGTCTGCAATTCGTAATTAACGGGTAGGGGTTGAATCCAGAGGTGGCTGAGAGTTCAGCCACAAAGGTGATAAAAAGAGTGGGAAAGAACTATGAGGGAATTTAAAGAAACTGGGATTAGTCAGCTTGGAAAGAAAGGAAGATAAAGAGCAATTTAATAGCAGCCTTTATGTACATAGAGAAGCTTAGCGGAACATAGTGACCAGTGTTTTCCATCTCACCCGAGGACAACACAAGAGGCTTAAACTGCAATATGAAGGATTTGGGATTGGCATAAGGAAGTATCTACTAACAAGCAAAATTGGAGTGAACTACTGAGAAATATGATAGAATTTCCATCTCTGAGGATTGAAAATGTATATTTTCTATTCCCTTTGAGTGTTTTAACATGAATCTTGCTCAAAGACATTGGCCTGGACTTGATGGCTTGCTGGAAATCTATTCATTGTGTGATATCACTATTTTTAGAAGCTTCTTCATAGATAGCAGGGAGGAGCAAGTACACCTATCAAGTCACAGGCAGTGGGATGTGGGGAAAAGGGCTCTAGGCTGAGAGGCAAAGGAACTCAATTGCTGTCTCTGGTGTACTGCAGTTAGTTGAGTGTTCTTGTCGCTTAACTCCTCTCTGCTTCAGTTTTCTAATCTATAAAATGAGAGAGCCAAACTAAATGGCTCAAAATGGAGTTTAAAAGTAAGAAATTATAATATTCAGTAAACATAAGCTAAAAGCCTTTCCTGGGACAGACACAGAGCAAGACTTCTTCACATATTATCTTGTAGAGCATCTCATTTGATACGGTTTGATTCTGTCCCCACCCAAATCTTATCTTGAATTGTAGCTCTCATAATTCCCATGTGTTGTGGGAGGGATCTGGTGGGAGGTAATTGAATCATAGGGGTGGGTCTTTCCCATGCTGTTCTCTTGATAGTGAATAAGTCTCACGAGTTCTGATGGTTTTTGTTGTTGTTGTGTTTTGAGACGGAGTCTCACTCTGTCGCTCAGGCTGGAGTGCAGTGGTGTGACCTTGGCTCACTGCAACCTCTGCCTGCCATGTTCAAATGATTCTCCTGCCTCAGCCTCCTGAGTAGTTGGGACTATAGGCACATACCACCATGCCTGACTAATTTTTGTTTTTTTTTTTGTTTGTTTTTTTTTTTTTGTTTTTTTTTTGAGATGGAGTTTCACTCTTGTTACCCAGGCTGGAGGGCAATGGCGCACTCTCGGCTCACCGCAACCTCCGCCTCCTGGGTTCAGGCAATTCTCCTGCCTCAGCCTCCTGAGTAGCTGGGATTACAGGCACGCGCCACCATGCCCAGCTAATGTTTTTGTATTTTTAGTAGAGACGGGGTTTCACCGTGTTGACCAGGATGGTCTTGATCTCTCGACCTTGTGATCCACCCGCCTCGGCCTCCCAAAGTGCTGGGATTACAGGCTTGAGCCACCGCGCCCGGCCTAATTTTTGTATTTTTAATAGAGACTGAGTTTTACCATGTTAGTCAGGATGGTCTTACCACTGGGTTGGGGGCTAGAGATCATAATGGTTTTCTGGCCTTACTAGTATGATTAGCTTAGTGAAAATATGATTCAGTTAGTGAAAATATTTGTTAGCTTAATGAAATTTTATTAGCTTAATGAAACTTTCATTAGCTTAATGAAAATATTTTCTCTTGCTGGCAAAATAATTCACATTCTGCTTAATAAATGTTGAATCATTATTCTTACTAGATTTATACAACCTATTTCATTATCTTGCCTTTAACACAGTATGAAAATTTGCTGAAGAACTGAGAGATGCCATTTTTAGAAACCAACTTCTTTGATTTTTTTTTAAAAGAACTTAGTGCTATTCATCATTTTGTGTGCATACCTAAAACAGTTCTTGGTATGTAAGACATGCTTTATAAATTTGTGTTGAATGACATGAATGAATGAGAATTCATTACTGGTTAAAAACAGCTTTACTTAAAGCACTTGATATAGTGAAATGGGCCGGGGACACAAGGCAAATTATCTGTACTCTAGATTTAGCCTGGCACTGACCAACTATGTGACTTACGTCAAGTCAAGTCTCTACTTCTTGACTGGCCCTCACATGCAATATATCCTTTGCAAAATGATGGAGTTTAATCTAAATGATTGCTAAGGTTCCTTTCAGGTCTCAGCTTTTGCAGCTTCCTGTAGACTGTGAACATGGGAATAAAGTCTGATTTTCTCATTGACTCATCTGGAACCCAGAAATTGGCAGATTTGGAAAGAAAACCTAATATTCTCTAAAAATGAAGTTCTAATAGATTCTAAAAGAAGGTCCAAAAGGCAGTATTCATGGAACAGCTAATATTATCTTTTGCTGGTGGGCAAAGTTAACATTTTGCCCTGGTCACTATTGGCCTAATTGTATTCTTGGACCACCTATGGAACTCTTGGCAATTAGATTTTCTCATAAAACTCTTTTCTGGAGGGCCCTCTGTGGATAAGATGAGCAGCACATTGCATTTTAGAATAGTATGTGCTAGGAACCAGTGCAAGTGAAAGTGTGACATTATAGAAGATGCCTCTGGCTTACGCATCTTCATTATGACAGGAATTTGCCATTGTCAATGTCTTATATGTTGTAGAATGAGAAAGAAATGACTCTTTAAAGTATACATCTGCAATAAAATCTCGATTGATCTGCTCACACTTTCGGAGTAGGCAGTCTCCAGGGTGCCGGGAGCAACTAGACCCTGGTCTCTAGGCCTAGGCTCAGCTATATTCCCTACAAGGCCCTTGGCGTGTACTGAACAGTGCTACCTGTTCAGTTGGTCAGTCATCCTGTTTCCAGACAAAGGGCATGGCCCTGAAAACTCGACAACAGGGCAAGATCCTGGCTCTAGTTTGGGATTTGTCATGTCTTTTTAGTTAGGCAAGCCTTCAATTTAGGGGATAGGATCAGAGCTGTGTCATAAATCTATTATATTTTTGTACCCTATGTAGCCCTCAAAACTGCCTCAAATCTTTGATTATTTACTGATGCCATCATGGGCTAGGCCACCTTCTTCATCTCATACTAAAATTTTCACTTTAACTAGATTGAAGCAATTCATATCATTTCTAGCATGTCACTGAATTCTATTCCTGCTCTTCAGAATC